GCCCTACGGGGATTCATATTAGACCTCGCCATCCCTGGGGGGCTGCGATCTGTGAAACTGTCGCCACTTTCGAGGCCTGCTGGGGGGCCCAGCGGAGTGACGCCCTACGGGGATTCAGATTAGACCTCGCCATCCCTGGGGGGCTGCGATCTGTGAAACTGTCGCCACTTTCGAGGCTGCTGGGGGGCCCAGCGGAGTGACGCCCTACGGGGATTCAGATTAGACCTCGCCATCCCTGGGGGGCTGCGATCTGTGAAACTGTCGCCACTTTCGAGGCTGCTGGGGGGCCCAGCGGAGTGACGCCCTACGGGGATTCAGATTAGACCTCGCCATCCCTGGGGGGCTGCGATCTGTGAAACTGTCGCCACTTTCGAGGGCTGCTGGGGGGCCCAGCGGAGTGACGCCCTACGGGGATTCAGATTAGACCTCGCCATCCCTGGGGGGCTGCGATCTGTGAAACTGTCGCCACTTTCGAGGGCTGCTGGGGGGCCCAGCGGAGTGACGCCCTACGGGGATTCAGATTAGACCTCGCCATCCCTGGGGGGCTGCGATCTGTGAAACTGTCGCCACTTTCGAGGCTGCTGGGGGGCCCAGCGGAGTGACGCCCTACGGGGATTCAGATTAGACCTCGCCATCCCTGGGGGGCTGCGATCTGTGAAACTGTCGCCACTTTCGAGGGCTGCTGGGGGGCCCAGCGGAGTGACGCCCTACGGGGATTCAGATTAGACCTCGCCATCCCTGGGGGGCTGCGATCTGTGAAACTGTCGCCACTTTCGAGGCCTGCTGGGGGGCCCAGCGGAGTGACGCCACGGGGATTCAGATTCGACCTCGCCATCCCTGGGGGGCTGCGATCTGTGAAACTGTCGCCACTTTCGAGGGCTGCGTGGGAGGCCCAGCGGAGTGACGCCCTACGGGGATACAGATTAGACCTCGCCATCCTTGGGGCGCTGCGATCTGTGAAACTGTCGCCACTTTCGAAGGCTGCTGGGGGGCCAGCGGAGTGACGTCCTACGGGGACTCAGATTAGACCTCGCCAGCGCTGGGGGGCTACGATCTGTGAAACTGTCGCCACTTTCGAGGGCTGCTGTGGGGCCCATGAAACTGTCGCCACTTTCGAGACCTGCTGCGGGGTCCAGCATAGTGACGTCCTACGCGGACGCAGATTGGACCCGTCATTCTACTTCGATTATCCCGCATCTGCGATCGACTGTATGTGTGCGAGGAACTAGACATGGAGTGGTCTGGCACTGACTGACGTCAAATCGTTGTGTGCCAGTGTCTCCTGGGGTGTTGCCTGATGTGGATGCAGCTCGTCGGCGCTGCGACTCGAGCTGGCGGTCGTCCTTCGGACCCGCAGAAACATCTGCTGAGCTCGATGAGCTAGGGGAACTACAGGAAAGAAGTGCAGGAAACGGAGGCCGGTCATGCACTCGCCGATACCTCGTTGCTCTGTCATCGTCTTTGCTGTTGCATGATCCTTATCTGGCCTGCCGGCGCCGCGGCTCGAGCTGGCGGTCGCCCTTCGGGCCCGCGGGAACATCTTCTGAGACAAGTGGACGCCGCCGCCTTACTTGCAGGCAGCGCATTGCATTCGCGGACAGCAGCATGGCAGACCGCAGTGAGATCCTCAGTCGCGTGGTGTTGCCAAGCCTGGTGGAGACGCGCGTGATCGACCTGAAGTCCCAATCGCGCGTGCACTGTACCTGCGTGGCGTTCAGGCACGCGCGTGATGCTGCTCGCTCCGCGTTCAACCAGTACGTCGCCAGTGCAACTTTGGACGATGGACAACCGATTGATGATACGCGACCCCGGCCTTGAGTTTCTTTCCCGCGGGCCGCCCGCAGACCTGGCGGCGCGCCTGCGAGCGTTCAGCTCCCGCGCTGAAATGTGCGGGAAGGAGGCGGAGAAGCTAGCGGGCGAGCTACGCCTCGCTCGTTCCTTGCACTCTAAACAAGTTTTATCATGTGGAACTCTGCGACGACATGGCGCAGGCAGCGCTGCGGGTTTAGCTCGCACTTGAAAAACGCGGCAGTCTTCTGTCTCCTCCCGCCACTTTCATCGTCGTCCTATTCCCCGCCTCACCTTCTCCATGCATGCTGCTGCTTCCGCGATGGCCTTTCGCCCCCCCCGCCCTCCATTCCATCCCTCTCCTACCCCTCGTTCCCGTACCCGTTCTTCTTCGATCCTGGGGCCTCAAGCCTCGTTCTTTCGATCGTCGTCCTGTGAATCGTGCAACGCATGCGCATCCCATGTAGCTTGCACAGCAAATCGCCGCGTCTACACTGTCGTTGTTCCTGCTAATGTTGGCATAGTCCTCTTGCCATTTGATGCACGTGGGTTGGGTACGTCGCAGGGTATTTAGTTCTACTACTACTACTACTACTACTACTACTACTACTACTACTACTACTACTACTACTACTACTACTACTACTACTACTACTACTACTACTACTACTACTACTACTACTACTACTACTACTACTACTACTACTACTAC